GCCTGATTTGGAGTAGTTTGTATTTCTGACGTATCTGTCTCCGAAGTCTTGGTATAAGTTGGACTTTTTTGCTTAATGTCGGGGAATTTTTTTGGTTTTACTTACCTTGCTGATAGAAGGTAAATGTCCGTGCCTTGTGCAGGATTGCGTTGTTTGGTGGTGCTCGCCCACGGGAGCAGGTGAGTTGTATCTTTAGTTTTGGGTGTCAGCTGCTCGTCATTTTGACGGATCTGGCACTGTTATTGAATAAATTATTCCTTCTTTTGTTCCTCTACTAGAGCATGTAGTCAAATAAATTACTTAAAGTCAAGCGTCCTGCTCTTCTTTATTGGCGTTCAAATAAATAGTTTAGCGGACGTCCCCCTATTTAATGGCCAATTCTTTGTGGCCCCATTTTCCTGTTAAATGATAAGATTTTTGCTTTCCTCAGGTTCTGAAGGAACGAGGGCTTGACAATACCACAATTAACAACAATGATCTTGTACAAAATTCCGAAAGGTATTGAGGCCGTCTTTGAATGTATTATTTCTCTGTCTCTCTCCCCTCTGGCCCTCCTCCCTCCCCCATCCCTACAAAAGAAAAAAAGGGGACAAGGAAAAAGAAGAAGCTTCCATTGATAACTGTTTATGCATTACGTTTTGTTGTTGGAAGGATTGACGAAAATTTTTCAAGGACTGAAAGGGTTCAAGGACCCCCTGTTCCTGTGCATCAGTCTGGAAAAATGGAGAATCCATCTTTTGATCGAAGGAGGATAGGTAAGGAGGGTGAGAGGAAGGATAACAGGGCAGATCCAGAGATGCAAAGGAGGAATTTCCGTGATAACCGAAGGAAGAATAGAGAAACTGAAAAACAACAGCAGCAGCAGCTGGAGAGGCCACCTTCACCAGAGACTTGGCGCAAGCCTGCTGAGCAGCAGCCGAAACCTGCCTCAAACGCTGTTGGTTTGCGTTATGGGAAAGTAGCTTCTGCCCTTGAGCTGGCTCAAGCCTTCTCTAGATCAGTCTCAGATTCTAACGTGCCCGATAGGGTTCCCAGTCAAAGGAACCTGCCAGGCCGGTCTCAGATGCCTTTTTCGCGCCTAATGGGGCCATCCCCTAGACCTCAAATTAATGGTTATTAAAATAGCAACCCTTCTCGGTCGTGGGAAAAATAACAAAGAAAAAAAAGAAAGGAAAGGAAATGGGTGGGAACAAACGCAATAAACAAAAAGAAGTTGAAACTTTTAGTTTGTTGTTTGGCTTTGCTACGTGGTGGAAACGATTGTATTCAGTGAAACATGGCAGCTGCTTCATTAATTTTCATGGCGAAAACTTTATGAATTTTTCTCTCCCTTGAGAATGTTTATTCAGTAGTATTGCAGAATGATCGTTTACTGAAAACTTTCTTTGCCAGAAAATTCTGTTATTACGTTTAATAAGTCATTTTTCATAGCAATTTTTTTTCTGCATTAACCAAATAGGAAGTGATCATTATTAGAATTCAGGTGGCACTACGATAGAACCTGCCACAAGACCAAGCTTGTCGACTCTTGTGGCTTCAAGCTCTATCGTAGTGCCAAAAATGGCTGCCCAGAAACTGAGTTAGCATCTTTTCCCAACATCTGGCTTCCACTAAAAGGACTTGTTAGTTTCGACTTTCAAGCCTGTGGGATCCAACATCCACCCAAAGGGCCTAACCACCACTATCCACGAATTGGTGGCTTGAGTACCGGAAAAAGCCGCACTAAAATAATTAGGCCTATGCCCATTTGCTTACAAACGTCACTTTGGAATGACACTGCCAGTTCTCGTCGGCTTCTTGGGTTCTGAACTTCCAACTTTTAAGCTCTGTCTTTTGTTTCTATTCCTTGGTACTAGTGCTTTGACAGACCCAAGATTTCTCAGAAGAATCGTCGTGGAAATTAAGACCATGTTGTTCAACCAATCTTGGTCAGTTCACCTCAGTTCTGCCGTCTTTAATTTATCTTTTGAATTTGGTTTTTGTTGTAAGAAGCATCAAAAAGAAGAAAGAAAGTTAGAACTCTCAAAAACTGTCGTTAAGTTACAGTAGAAGATTCAAAGAGAACTCTTCCCACCTTTTCCCCTTTTTTCTTTCCACTTTCCTTTTCTTGCATGCAACTCTTGAGGATTCTCATTTTTTCAATCTTGTGTCAAGACTTCCTCTCTTTTCAAATGCAGATCTTCTGAAGCTGAATGAACTCATATGCGTTTATATGTTTCATATTCTTTTTGAAGAATGGGTGTGTGTTGTGATCTTGAAGTAGATGTCAATGGAGAAGCAACTTTTATGGTGGACAAGGTATATGCAGTTCATAATATTTTTATATATATGTTTTTTTGTCACTCCATTTCATTTCTATTTCCAATAAAGTAAAAAAGCAAAAGAGGTTCTCTCTGAAAGCTTCCTCAAAAGTTTCCATGATTACTCTGAAGCTCTGTTCCCTTCATGTTCCTCTGTTACCCATTTGCTTATACTGCCTTTCCATTCATTTGTCTGCTTTATCTAACAAACATTTTCAGAAATTTTCTAACAGCAGCGTTTGCAATTGAAATTTGCAGAGAATCATTCTTTCTTTCTCTGGTAGGCTAAGAAAGTTAATAAGAACATCCACAGATGTAGCAAGGGGTCTGAAAGTTGTCTTACATGGCTTTCCTGGAGGTCCTGAAGGCTTTGAACATATTGCAAGGTTTTGCTACAATGGTGGAAGAGTTGAAATCACCCCATCTAATATAGTCCTTCTTCACTATGCGGCCCTTTTCTTGGAGCTGGAATGTCCTAGTGATTCTGCAGAGACCCACTTAATAGCTGAAACCAAAAAATCCCTCCAAGGACTGAAATTTTGGAGCTGGTCTGAGCTTCTGTTGGCCTTGAAACAGTACCAAGTTTGTCTTTCAGTCAGGAAAGATTCATTTTTGGTTCATAAACTCTTGGATTCCCTGATTGGCAGGCTTGATTTTTCTAGTTATGAAAGTACAAGTTCATCTTTTTCTACCAGCTCTAGTTTTCGTTATTCTTATGATACTAAAAGCCATGATAGTGCCACCAGCAAGTTCACTAGAACAACTTGGTGGTTTCAAGATTTGGTGATCTTGAATATTGACATGATCCAGAAAGTAACAAAAATGATGGTTTCACGCAATCTTGACCACAAGATAATCTGTAGGTTTCTCTTTTTCTATAGAAAATCAAGATCTTGTCATTCTGAACTAAATGAGCAGCAGAGCATCACTGAGCGTGTTATTGATTTACTCTGTTTGCTTGATCACCAGAGTTCTTTTTCTGGTGAAGGTTTGTTTGACATATATCAGGCAGCTCTGAGTTTGAAGATAAGCATAAAATCTAAACACAAACTAGAGGTTTTGATGGGTTCACAATTGGATCAATTGACAGTGAGCCATTTGCTTATTCCCGCTCCCGGTGGGAAGGATTATGTGTATGATGTGAATTTGGTTCTGAGACTTTTAAAGTCCTTTCAGGTTGAATCCAAAATCTGCCCGTTCCAGCTTTGTAAATTTGAGAAAGTTGCTAGATTGATGGATTTTTACTTGATGGAAGTAGCTCCAGATTCACATTTGAAGGCCTCCAAGTTTAATGCTTTAGCCATGGCACTGTCACATTCAAGAGAATCTCATGACAAACTTTATCAAGCAATTGATATCTACTTTCAGGTAATGAACTTCCATTAAACTGAATGAAAAATGTGGGATTTTTCACAGGAAATCCAACTTCCTTTCAGTGGGAACTAACACTAAAGTTTTGATATTGACAGGTTCATGTTGAATTATGTGAAGATGAAAAGATCAAAATCTGTTCTTCACTGAACTACAGTAAGCTATCTACTGAAACTTTGAAGCATTTGACACAAAACCCAAAATTTCCTTGTAGAAGAGCACTGATTTCCAAGCAATACAGCCCCATAGATTTGTTCTGTCGCAGTATGATCAGTAAAGTTGTAAGAGTCTCTCCTTCTACCTGCACTGCTAATGGAAATATGCAGGTAAGAGAAGAACTGAAAGCCATGAATCCAAAGCTCATAGCAGCAAGGAAAAATCAAACTGTGTTTTCTAATTGAGCTATAAACAAGTTTGCTTAGATCAGTTAATTTGCAGGTTGTAACATATAAGGGATAGAGGAATTCAAATGTTTTGATCCATATATTTTCAATGAATGAAGTTGTCGTTTTAGATTGTTTGAAACATTGAATATTAGGATAACGAATATTGAAGCTAATAAAGAAGTGGAAGACAGAGACAAAGACAAACATCCTCGAAGTGACCACTTTCTATTTAGTTTTTTTTTCCAGACATTTATACAAACATTTTTGGTAACTGTGAAAATAAATGTGTTCCAGTTTCCAATATTTTTGGAGGGAGTGTGCATTTAATGAATCAATAGCCTCCATCCAAAATTACTCCATTAAATATTGGATTTTGATTCTTCTTTTTTGTTTAAATTTATTCTAAGTAGTATCAGCTTATGTCTTTGAATTTTGACTTCTAGGTTGTCCCTCGAAGTTTTACTTTCAATAGGTGTATTTTAAAAATTTTGAGGAGAGGCTCGAGAGGGAAAGACAAAAAATGACAATATTTGTTAGCAGTATGCTTGAGCTATTACAAATTATATCAAAGCCAGACATGAGACAGTGTGTTAGCGATGATGTTGGCCCTCAAGGGGGTGGATAGTGAGGTCCCACCTCGGTTGAAGAGAGGAACGAAACATTTTTTGTAAGGGTGTGAAAACCTCTCTTAACTAACACACATTCTTTGTAAGGGTGTGGAAACCTCTCTTAACTAACACATTTTAAAAAATTTGAAAGAAAGTCCGAAAAAATCTAAATAAGACAATATCTGCTAGTTGTGAATCTAAAGATGAATAAATTTATGAGTTGAGTTATGTTAAAATGTTTTATAAGCGTTTATAGAGGTTTAATTTTGTGATGACAATAGATCTTAGATATACAATGACATCTCTTTGTTGTCACAACTCGTCATATATTTGTAGGGTCAATTATATTTTTTAAGCTCTATGAAGAGCTTAAACGTCTCTTAAACTCCTATACTTTCATAAAGCACAAACTTCACAAGCTTCTCTAGCGTTGGAAGGTCTTGATTCTCATCATAACCATACAAGAGAGGAACAAATCTAGCAATATTCAGAGAAGCTTGAATAAATGTCGGTGGATATGGATTTGGAGAAAACAGGCTTTCTTGGTTCAGCCTCTTCCACGCATCAGATATCACGTGGCTAATACGCTTTCGTGCGCTGTCAACAGAGATCCCTGGATTTTCTTTCATATAGCATTCTATGTAAGACCCATCATGTCCTTCTTGGTTCTCGTCCTGTGTAATAAATTAAATGATATTCATCTATTACGTGAAACAATGATATGATATTGTCCACTTTGAACATAAGCTATTAGTAAAATGTATTTCTTACTTATAAATTCATGATAATTTCCTGAAACATGAGATTCTCTCCCAACAATTTTTAATAAAATGAAATAAACTTTTTTGGATTACCTTTGCACTTCCCAAATCATCGCTGAGTCGAAGAATTGACGCGGTGGAAGACACAATGTCTGGATTGCTACTCAAAAGAACTGCCTCGTTGCTCACACCTTGGCCTAAGAGAAAGAAGATGTGAGCTAAAACAACATGAACTCCAGAACTAACTTCTCCATTCTCCAAGTATTCTTTGGCACTTGGCAAATGGCTAGAACCAAACCATTCTGCTTCCACTAGAAACGCCTCACAAAGTCTAACCCACTGAAAAAAAAAAAAAATGAATATCAACTCATGGGTGGGATTTATAACCGCACAAATCTACCGCCAGTAAATATGTTCTTTTTGGATTTGGACACACTTTTGAGCTTTCATTAGGAGCTTTAAAATGCTTTTGCTAGAAGAAAATTTCCACACCCTTGTAAAGGGTGTTTCGTTCTCCTCCCAACTAACGTGGGATATCACAATCCACCCCCTTTGGGGCCAGCGTCCTTTGGCACACCGCCTTGTGTCTACTCCCTCGGGGAATAGCCTCCTCGCTGGCACATCGTCTGGTGTCTGGCTCTGATACCATTTGTAACAACCTAAGCCCACGGCCAGTCGATATTGTCCTTTTTTGGGCTTCCCCTCAAAGCTTTAAACGTGTCTCCTAGGGAAGGTTTACACACCCTTACAGAAGGTATTTCGTTCTCCTCCCCAACTAAGGTAGGATATCACAATCATAACCGCTTTAATAAAAAAATTTACCGATTTGCGTAGGGAATTAATTGGGTTCCAGCCATGCTTTAGATAAAACTTGTGACATATTTCATTTGTTGTTTCATGAAGTTTGATAATGCAAAATTTCATTGGGTTGGGTAAGCCGTCGAGAGCTGCCAAGTCCCATCTGCATGAACTGAGGTCAGTCCACCAAACATGTACCTTAAAACACACGAAGAAATTAGTGTCATACCTTTGGATTGCTTTAGTGAATAGTCTAAGTTCTTCAAGTGAACCGTATACATCGTAGATGTCGTCAATAAGATAGATAAAAGATATACATTTTGTCAGCTCAACTCTCTCTTCTGAAAACATTGGATCTGCTAAAAACGCCATCGAACAAATGTACCATTTAAGTGGCTGATCTCTTGCAAACTTCAGTTCTTCACATAATCCTGTCTTTTTCCACCACCTATGTGCCCATTATATCATACAATAATATTAAAACATCTTCATAATAATAGTTTTTCAATACATTAAAAAACCCATCAAACCCAAAAATTTAAAATACAACTACGTCTATCACTCGCCCATATCGTTGGTTTTGACCTGTTATTTATCGACATCAGCTTCACGATTTTAAAATGTGGAGAGGTTTTCATACCTTTATAAAAAATGTTTCCGATCTCACAACAACCCTTTGAATCACTTCACTCTGGTAAGGAATGATTCGTTCTCCTTTCCAACCTAAGTGGGATCTCACAACAACCCTTTAAATCACTTTACTCTCGTAAAGAATGTTTTGTTGTTTTCTCTAACTGATGTGAGATTTCGCAATAACCCTTTGAATCTACGCTTTAAAAAGTATAAAATCTTAAAAAATATGTTTGAGAAATGGAACAAAAAAAGTGATAAGATTCCCTAAATATGTGGCTTATAAGTGCACGCATAAACTTACATAATGAATTGAGACAATTCAAGTCCGTGTAGCTTCTGGACTCTATTGAAATCCAATTTTGCCATGTGTTGGAAAACATATATCCACTTATTTGGAGATTGGGATCCAAAGTAATCCTTCACCACAAATTTCACCAAGCTCTTATGAAAGGGATTGGCCATAGCTTTCCTCACATGTTTGCTTAAATTATCGTCGCGATTCCTCACAAGTTTCTTCAAGATACGAGCACTAAAATTTCCAATTTTCTCGAGTTTTTCGTCTTCGGGGAGGCATAATTGGGAAGCTTCGTATAAACTCGTGAGCCCTTCGATATTTTCACTAAATTTTGTGTCTAATAGACCCTCATGATTGTGATCGATGAAGCCTTCAAAAACATCTGCCCAAAAGCAACAATTTTGATTATTTTGATGGGTTTTTGTTTGTTATTGAAAAGGTTATTGAAATCACACCTTGTGGTACAAAATAGCCATGTTGTCTTAAGAGTCGAAAGCGAAGAGCAACTTGATGAAGGCCACATTTAGCATCAAAATTGTGAGTTTCCATTGTGTATTGTGTTTGAAGAATTGCTTTAATCTCCTGTTTGAAGCAGTGGTCAATCCCCAAGCGCTGTATTGCATCAATCATATTCAAGCTCTCCAAAGAATCAATTTTGGCCGTCTCTCTCAACAAATGCTTCAGATTCTTCATTTCAAATTCATATTTCATGCTCGTTTCGTCCTGCGTAAATTACACCAAAATCTACACTAATTATCAACAAATTCATGATAATTTCACTTTGAAAACAAAATTAAAAATCAAAGAGGCATACAATTGAAGGAGAAATCTGTGAATCTGCAGGAAGGGAAATTGGAAGGAAGGAGTGATGTAGAGGAATGGTCCATTTTTTAGAGTGAGGAACCATATTGTGCATGGAAGCTTTTGGATATGGCTGAAAAGAAGAAGAAGAAGAAGAAGAAGAAGAAGGAGGAGGAGGAGGAGGTGCAATTACTCCAACTATTAGCATTGCTGATGCTGATGCTGCCATGGGATGGATGAAGAAATCCTTGATTGGCTCCAAATATTGTAAGATGGTGGGATGTATTTAGTGATAGCGCCAATTTATAATAATTTTATGAGAGACAACGTCTCCTCGCTAGTTGATGTTGTCTGCTTTAATCCATTATGTAGAATTGAATTTGGTAGTTTAAATGACATAAAATTCATATTTCTTTGCCTTTATTTATATATAATATTTTATTCTCTTCTTCAACTAACGTGAGACATCAATTTAATAATAGTTGGTAGGAAAAAAATATTTCAATTTCAGTCGTCAGATTATTTTTTTTTTCTTGTTCTTAAAATTTAATAATGTTTATTGAATGTAAACACGAGTTTGAAAATTGAAACCCAGTACTTAATGACTATGATTTCTGAAATAGGCCCCACACTATGTGAAGGGACTTAAGATATTTGCGTTATAAAAGATATGTGTTATAAAAATGCGTCATGACTTGATTTTCGAGGTTTTGAAAAATTGAACCTCAACCTAAGCCGAAAATAAAATAAAGGAAACAAGTAAACGTAAGGTATAGTTTTGTACCATTTAAAACCATACTATACAATTGCCAAAATCCAAATCAATTGAAATGGTTCAAATTATTTATAAAATAGGTATTATACTAGTTTTTTTTATATTATTATTATTATTTATTTTTTATTAAAGTTTTTGAGACTATATCAAACATTTTTCTCTTCTAACACGTCCTCAAAAAATAAATTGAAAAAAACAAACAAAAAATTAATGCCCCAACAATTATTGATCGACCTATTTCGCACATTTTATGTAAGTTTTAAATATCACATCAGGTCAATAATTCAATAGGAGTGGTTTTTTTTTTAAAAAAATTTTAATATTGCATAAATATTTATGTGATAAAACAAAATTATTGAATAACCTAATGTTAAACCAAACATGCACTACCTAATAAGTAATGGATACGATAACTTACGAATAACGCTATCGTAGACTTTTTATAATATTTTTTATATGTTGTGATAGCTTATTAGTAAAAGTTTCAAACTTTTTATAATCTTTTTTAATTTTTTTTTATAATTATAATAGCGTGGAAACCTCTTCCTAACAAGTGCGCGTTTTAAAAATCTTGAAATTTCTTTTTGACAATACCAGATAGAAATGAGTTTGAAATATCTGAAATAATTCTGTAAGTAAAAGCAACAATTGTCCATTTTCAAGAATCCAAAGACCTGCTATTTTACGCTATTTTACATAGCAACATTCCTTTCTAAGGCTTCCTATGATATCATTCTCACAAAACTCATCATCAAATCCACCACACTCTTTGTCACGATGGACTTTTGAGAATTTGAAACACCAAATCGTGACTAAAAAGACCAAATCGAAAACAAATAAAAATAAAAAGAAAATAAAATAGAAGGTAAAAATCGGGTAAAATTTAAAATAAGAAAAGGAAATCAAGGACACCCAAATTAAATATAAAATCAAAGTCAAATGTTACAAATAGGAATTACAAATATAAAATGAAATAAAAAAGACTCTAAATATGAAAACGGACAAAAGACTCTAAAAGACCGACAAGGGACTGACGCTCCGGAACGACACCCCTCTATGACAGTGAAGCTCTCGAACACCTCCCCGTATCGACTGGTACCTGAAAAAAAAAAGGGAGAAAGGGGCGAGTATAAAAATATGTTCGGTAAGCAAGCTACTTGTAAGCTCTTTTCGCTTCCTTATCTTAGTAGGTATCCACGGTCTTTCTCGAGTTTCTAAGGAGAGTAATCTAAGCTACAACTCTCTTTTCTGTATCTTAGGAGGCTTGCCCATCTATTGCAGTGAAATGATCAGTGTCCTAAGGCGAGGGGCGACCTCATAAGTAAATCTGAGGGGATCGTATGGCTGGATCTAAAATACGTGACTCTCTCTGAACATCATCCGTAGAGGTTAGACAACCCTCTCACAGGACCATACATCCACTAAATTCGGGGTGTGACCCTCTGTGTGCCGGTCAGCTACTAAGTCATCCTACGTGGCTCTACGTCCCCCACTCAGGGACAGGTTTCTACGGCCCAGGAGTCTTGTTCAGAAGACCCCTTAGCTATCACCACTAGGTCTGGGCACCTGTCACACTTTCCTATCCGAATCTGCCAAGCTCAACGATCTTTGTACCAGAGCTCTGTCTCGACGGTACGGTATCGGAGCAGAGAGGGAAGTGGAGGTTCTGATGACACTACTCACACTGCACAACTCTAGCGGGCTACCTATAGTTACCGTCGTGTCCTACTATCCTTTCTAGGGTGGAACTTGGTGGCTTAGACTTGGATTCATGCCTCTCTAAGATTCTCGTGCCTGGTCTCACAAACCTATCGGGTTTGGAATTCTGGGCTCTGGATCTGCCAGTAATCGTTTCGCGGGTGTATATACACAGTATTCTAAAGGTCTCCCAATCTAGAATCTCGTTCTTGTCTAGCCTACTTAGTCACAAGCACCCTAATCTACGCTCATAATTTCTTCATATTCAACAAAAAAGATAACGCAAACAATCATCATGCGTAGGAGTTCACACGCAACAGTTCATGCAATATTAACAAACATGCTCAACGGGAAATAAAGTCCATATTTACCCAGAGCGCAGATTTCACAAATTTTCCATCCATCTCATGCATACATACTTTATTAGAATTTCAATCAAAACAGATTTAACAAACATTTCATATCTAGCTTTTCTTATTCATTTCATTTTCCCAGTTTCTATATTAATATACTAGGTCCTAAGTTTATGGGTGGTATCATGCATGATTGTTCCTAGCGGTTAAGTACTGCTTGTGGGAATCCAAATGGCTACTGACTTGGGTGATGCGTGCCTTCCCAAGCTTGAATTTATTTGCCGGAAAAGGTTCCAAAAATTCTGAAATTTCCTTGATAGGTCCTAATTCACATAAAAATAGGATCAAAGTTGAAATCGGGGCGAAAAACAAGCAAACGGAGGCCGGGTGAGAGAGTGGGGTCCCATGCGCCGTGCACGCGCCAGCAGGTCCCCACACGCGCCGGCACACGCCCACACACGCAGCCTCCACGCTCAGGGCAATGCCGCATTTCGAACCCCAGCGGCCGCGGACTTACCTTCAAATTTTCTGAGCGCGACACGTGGCGCGCAGTGTTTGGCGGGAAACGTCGGGTTGGACCGCGGGTTTCCGAACCGGTTCGGCGGGCGTACGGGTCGACCCGACTCAGCGCAGCAGTGGAACGCTGCCACGTGACGCAAGCCGGCTCCGCCGCGCTCTTCCGTTCGCCGGTCGACGCGTGGCGGTCTCTTTCTCTCTCCTGCGTGTGTTTCAAATTTCCAGATATTAGCGTTTTCGCGTTTTCGATCTATTTTCTTCGGATTTTCTTATCTTTAGATCCGTAATCCATATCAACAAAGTTTCTTCACAAAAATTCTAGATCTCATATTCTACTTCTACAATATATTTTTCCTTTATTTTTTCCTTGAACACAGGATGAGTTAAGGCCGTCCAAAGATACGGAAAAACTCACATTTTCTGTTTTCGATCGGTTTACCCGAAGTCAGACTAAACTCCGATTTTCGTCCGATTCTCGTCCAGGAACTTCAAGAAACCTGTGTGAATCCTATTTGAGTTACATACCTCAAAAACTCCAGATCTAACGCTCAAGAAACTTCTCAGATTTAGATAAAATCGAAACAAGAAGTTCGGAAGCTTACTTTGTCCGTTCTCAGATTTTCTTGCCGGAATGAGTGAATCCACCACCCAAACTCCTTTTCCAGCACCGAGAGAAATATTGTTTAGAAGTTTCTTGCCTTGATTCGATCTAACGGTGGTTTGTCTTCTCTGCTCTTCCTCTCTTCCAAACCCTAACTTCTTCTCCTTTCTCTCTCTCTCTTTTTTCTTTTCTTTCTCTTTCTTCTTAGAGCCCGGTAAGGTAGGGGGCAAAATGACCCTTTTGCCCCTATGTTGTTTTTTTTATTTTTTATTTATTTATAAAAAAAAATCGGTCGAATTAAAGCTACCGCGACCAAATAAAAAATGTACAATGCGCGTCAAAATACCCAATTCTTGTGTACATGCCAAGGCCTATAGACTTGACGTACCTATGGGCGTTAATATTGGCTCTTGAGCACGTGAGTGCGTTGTTGGCTCCATGCGCGCACATGAGCTATTGGCCTACACGTGTGCCCTACATGCCTCTAAGTGTGCGCGCACCAAGCCTCACCTTGTGTACAGCACACGCCAGATGCCACACCAGCGCCCTATCACCTTTGTGCTCACACCACGCCCACCAACACCTTGTGTATGTTAAATGATAGAGGCTATAGGATATGTTATGCATTACTACTCCGTGAGACTCACATAAGTCATAGATTGAATTTAATGTGAATTATAAATTTAGTTCATGACTATCCCATAATCAAGTTTAGTTCAAGACTAAGAAATAATAAAATCGAGAAAGGCATATATGAAACTAATCAACTAAATTATGATCTAACTACCTTAAAATTCAAAAAAATTTCCTTAAAAAAAAAAAAAAAGTTGATTTGTATTTACACCTCCATTTGATGAAAGAGAAATTGTTTAATAAGGTTTTCAAGGGACATAATGGATTGGGCTCTACCATAGTTATATGCAATAGGAACTACTCTTGCAAGATTGAGGCAAGCTTGATTGAACTTGGCAGGAAATAGATTGGATAATAAGCATTCTGTATTCAGAGTCTTCCATGCATTACAAATTTGCTTCATAGTATGTCGCTTCGTTTCTTCATAACACATACTCGGATGCTCCTTCATGTAATATTCTAAATACGACCCATCACGCCCCTCTTGTTTCTCATCCTATGTCAACATGAGCATAGTTCAAATATTAAAATTGAAAGATTCAAATACGTGCACGATATGGGTACATAATTAATTAAAGCTAACCTTGGCACTTCCCATGTCATCCCAAAGCCGCAAAACTGTAGCACTTGATGAAATGATATCTAAATCCTCATCAAAGAGCTCAACAGTTTCCTTGCTTATTAACTCGCCTAACAAAAAGAAGACATGTGTTAATGTAACGTGCACGCCTGTGCTAACCACTCCATTTTTTAGATACTCTTCTGCGCTTGGTGATTGCCCAGAACTCATCCATTCAGCTTCCACCAAAAATGCCTTGCATAATTTAGCCCACTGCAAAAGTTACTCAACTCTTTACTCACTTAAACATTTAATTCCATGGTTTCTTCAATGATATGAAATGGGTAAATTTAAATTATACCGCTTTGTGTAAGGAGTGAATAGGATTCCATCCATGGGCTTGATAGATCTGGCAGCTTATTTCATTAGTAACTTCAAAAAGGGTTCTTAAACATATTTGCATGCAGTCTGGTAATCCTTCAGCAGCAGCCAAGTCCCATCTAAACAACCATTGCAATAACATATTAATAAAGTAATGTATCAGGAACCGCTCAAGTCCACTGCTAGTAGATATTGTCTGTTTTGGCTTGTTACGTATCACCATCAGTCTCATGATTTTAATAAGGAATGCTTCGTTTTCCTCTCCAACTGATGTGGGATCTCACAATCCATCTCTCTTGGAGGTCCAGTGTCTAGCTGGCACACTATTCGAGTGTCTGACTCTTGTACCATTTGTAACCGTCAAAGCCTACCACTAGTAGATATTGTCTCCTTTTTGGACTTCCCCTCAAGTTTTTAAAACGTGTCTATTACAGAGAGGTTTCCACACACTTATAAGAAATGCAGATAAAAGTGATATCAGGACGTAATTTATTTATAACCTGCAAACGGCTTCTGTGAATATGGTGAGTTCGTCCAGAGTTCCGAAAACGTCGAAAATGTCGTCGATGAGATATATGAAAGAGATGGATTTTGCAAGTTGGATTCTTTGTTCGGAGTAGAAGGAATCTGTGCTGAGGCAAATCAATGAAGCAACGTACCATTTAATGGGTTGATCTCTAGAGAAACTCAAATCTTTCGCCAAATCTGTTTCTTTCCACCATCTGTCAATCACCATCATGAACAAAATCCATGCATTATTAGTAAAAATCATGGCCCTTTTGCACGACACTAAAGACAGTGCAATTTAGACATATTTTTTTAAAAGATTCTAGGTCGGTTGGAGAGAGGAATGGAGCTATAAAGTTGTTTCTAAGACAATATCCGCTAATGATGAGCTTGAACGGTTACATTTTCAACTTAGCACAAAAAAAAAAAAAAAAAAAAAACCAAACCCATAAATGCTTACTTCGTAAATTGAGCGAGTTCGTGTTGGCGTAAGCGTTGAGCTGAGTAAAGCTCCATTTTTGCAGCATCTCGAAAGATACTAATCCATTTGTTTGGCCATTGCACATCTTCCAAATAGTTAGGCGCCATTAATTGCACCACACTTTTATGATGAGGATAAGCTAAAGTATGCTGAACAAAACTGGCCAAATGATGATCAACTTGTTCAGCTTCAGCCCTAGCCTTTAGCCAATGGCTGCTAAAGTTTTCAGCTTCTTCAAGAATCTCATCTCCGTGCATGCATAGCTGCGAAGCTTCATATAAACTCATCAGCCCCTTTATATCATCTTTCAGCTCTTCCTTGAACTTCCCCTCCCCGTCCAAGAAGCTTTCGAATACATCTGGTAAGAAAATTTGTTAAGAATGAGAAACAGAAGTAGAACTTCAATTAATGTTCGCAACGGTTAGATAAGATATAAGCTACCAACTAACTCACAAAAAAATATATTACTAGCTAAATCTTAAAAATAAGATAAAATATACTACGTATCAAATATATTACCAATTAATTACTTAAATATATATTTCCCAGCGAACTTTATATCTTAAATCAAATTTCATAATAGAATTGAATATCAACCTGACGACACGAGGTACCCATGTTGTCTGAAAAGTCGAAAAAGGAAGGCAGTCTTGTGGAGATCAGTGTCTGAATTTAATTGAACGGCATTAAACAGTACGTACTGCCTCTGCAGTATAGCTTCAATTTCCTGTTGGAAATGATAATCAATGCCAAGGCGCTGCGTTGCATCAATTAGATTCAAACATTCCCAAGGGTCTCCTATTTCTCTCAAAACATGCTTCAAAATCCTCCCTTTAACTGGAGCTTCATGCCCAATGTCATCATCCTGCATTGGATTCAACACAAAACCCATTTAACCAAAGAACAAAAAAACAGCATAGTGTGAGAGAATGAGAGAGATCTATGAGCATACTGTTAAAATGAAAGATTGGTTCTTGGAACGATTGGGTTTAAAGTTAGTGGAAAGTAATGTATGATCACGAAGAACAATGGTTTGTTTGTTAAACAAGCGCTTGTTAACAGGAGAATCATTGCTTTGTGGAATGTTTAGTGATGCAAGTAAGGGAGCAAAGGAAGCATGTGGAGAAAAAGCCATGTTTTGTTGTGTTTATGTAGCAAAGAGAGGGAATAGAAGGGAAATAAGATATTTGGAAGTGTGGAGTGTGAGTGGTGAATGGTGTGTGGTGATGTTTATATATAGTATGGCGTCTTCAACTCTGGATTTCAAGTCAATACGCAATTTGCTTAATGCCCCACATGAATTTACTCCAAATTTAGAGGAAGCAAAGTTTGAATTTGTAGCGTATGGAACAAAACCATATCAATATATGTTCATTCCAAAACACAATAAACGTTTCCTTTAATTCTTTACTTTTTAATGAAAAAAAGCTCTTGACTTTCATCCTTCTAAATTAGGTTTTGGTTTTGGGGTTACATATATATAATCGTCAGTTTCACAGTTTTAGAAGAAATGCTTTGTTTTCCTCGCTAATTGACGTGGGATCTCACAATTCACCCTCTTTGGGGGGCTAGCGTCCGGAATCTAGCTTGATACCATTTGTAACAATCCAAATCTACTACTAGTAGATATTGTCCACTCTGATTCGTTACGTATAGCCGTTAACGTCACGGTTTTAAAACGATTTTAAAATTTTTCTACCCACACCCCCGTAAAAATGTTTCATTCCTCTCTCTACCAATGTGAGATCTCACAATCCACCCCTTTTGAAGGCCTACCACCTCTTGGCACAACGCCTAGAATCTAGCTTTGATACCATTTGTAACCGTCCAAACCCACTGCCAGCAGATATTATTCAATTTTGCCTACTACATATCGCTTTTAGCTTCACAATTTTAAAAGAAATATTTTGTTTTCTTCTCCGATCGATGTGAGATTTCACAGGGATGATATCATACATTACTTTTCAACGTTGGGGGATATGAGTTAGGGTACGACTCATAATTTTGTAAACGTAAAAGTGTTTTGTGTTTTATTTCTAATAGTCATCAGGAGATATGCATATTTACAAACTTGTACCAAGAAAACTTGTGGTAGTCTCTTATTGTTATTTAGACCATTCAAAAGAGATATTTGGGAAGAAAATTCATTGAACGTTGTTAAAGGATGAATCTCACAACCACCAAAATGTTGGAGGCTTTTAAGCCCATAATTGCTTATCTACTAAATATTTGTGATTAAAAAAAGTATTTAACTAAATTAATAAAATTATGTTATTTTTACTTTGCTTCAAAAATATTTTTTTGACTTTTAATTCTTTTAAAATTAAAAAAAAAATCTTTAATACTTCGTTTTGAAAATACTTTTAAATTTTAAAATGTGTTCTAAACTTTTAAATATTTTAAAAATTTTATGGATTAGCGCTGGAAAATATCAAAGAGAAAGACAACTATGAACTAACATGACATTACTATGAACTGTGTTGAAATTGTTTTTTCTTTTTTTGTTCGGTTATTAATGAAAAATAATTTTTTTCTTTTTTTTAAAAGCTCCAAGGAATTAATAGGTCTTTTGAAAGTTATAGATATTTTCTAAATATAATACCAATGCTCTATTTAAAATTTGATATTTATTAAGTATTTTTGAAAATTCAAACTTATTTTTTAAAAAAATAATAAGAATAGTTTCTATTTAAAATTAAGGGTGAGAATACGTTTTTTTAGTTTAAGAGTAATATTAAAATTTAAAATTTATATATATTTTTTAAGTAATTTTAATTTTTGTTTTATCAAAAAAATTAAAACCCAAAACATGAATAAAAGAAAATTTAGATGGTGTGAGATCCCACGTCCATTCAAGAATAGAACAAAACATTGTTTATAAAAGTGTGAAAACCTCTCTAGGTAGACGCGTTTTAGAACTGTAAGACTGACTTTGTAAATATGTGGAAACTTTTCTCTATCTGATGCAGTTTAAAATCGTAACCGGACGACGATACGTAACGGACTAAAGCGAATAATATTTATTAGCATAGATCAATACAGCGAAAAAGAGAGAGATAAAAATGTATTAAATATTATGATATACTTCACCTTCAATTCATCGTGCAAAATATGGAAGATCATGAAACTCTACGAGGTTCATAAGGGAACTAAATGAAATCAACCATAAAAATCTTACCCATCCCGATCACAAGTTTCTACCCACAAACAAAATGGACAAAGTAGTCCTTCTTGTAGGCCATACTACACCCTTGCATGTTGTGTACCAAATTTAATTGTTGACTCTTGGTTGTGAAACACATTTTATGGTATCTTTTTTCTTTATACAATGTGCACCACAAACACAAGTTGGTTGAACATGATCGTTCCACACCTAGCTGCAGCAGCCATTTATGGTTTCAAAGTGATCATTTTATGTAACAGTTCAAGTTCACTGCTAGTAAATATTGTTCATTTTGATTTGTTACATATCGCCGTTAGCTTCGCAATTTTCAAATGCGTCTACTAGAGAGAGGTTTCCAGACTTGAATGTTTCGTTTTTCTCAAACTAACGTAGGATCTCACATATTATGTTATCACTGATAGATCTCATTTTAAAAACCAGTATTAAACTGAGATGAAATGATATTATAGAACTTCTAATACAAGTCTTAGTGTTTTCGTACTGTGTTTCATCACTAATTAACTCGAAAACTTAAACAATGGGGGAGGGAAGAACTTTTCACCCACTAGATATTTTCAGTTGAACCTTAAACATGCTATGTTGGCATGTACGTAACATTTTCTAAATTAGTTACAACCATTGGAACATGAATCATGCAATATTGCATGGTAGCCTTTGGATATGGTAGGCATGAAGCTGGTAGGCATGAAGCTGGTAGGTATGAAGCTGAGGAGACAGACAACCTAAAAATGAAAAAACATTATTCACATTTTGACTCTTGGCCATGAAACACACTCTTCTCTTCCTCTAATTTCTCTCTTCCACACATGCAGCCAATTTTTAGAAGTGTGGACCCATTTAATAATAATAATAATAAAAAATGGAGACTTGTGGTCCATTTGCAAATATCCTTCCCTCTTCGGGTATGAGTTTTGAGCTCGATGATGGATCAGTTTGTTGGACAGGAAGAAATATGTGAATCGGATATTTAGTAATAAATTATAGTTTATCATATATATCATATTTGATATTTTATTAAGACCATAGTTATCTTTCCATTTATTGTTATTTCCATTTATTACTATTTTCATATCCTTGTAATTTATTTGATTATAAATAAGATAACTTTCACACTATTTAGGTGTGGTGAATTAATCAAACATTCTTAAGATATATGTATGAATCGAGACTATATCCGAATGAGAGCAATCTTGAAGATAGGAGGACTAAAAAAGACTTAAATTAAATGAAAGTTACTATTTATATTAACAAGGTGCATCTTTCTTTTTGGTGATGTTGTAAGGGATAGAGGAAAATGCTGGGACACGAGGTATTGAATTTGAGTTCCAAATTCTAATCGGAATCGTGAACATGGGACATTACATATTCAAATGTTCTAGTGATTGAAAAGGGGAATAAAGAACTCTTTTCCATCTCCGTTATTAGTTCCTATTTCAGTATTTATCTCTATGGATTTTTCCTATTAATAATGATTTAAATTTAGATTTTCATAGGCTTAAAAATTGGGTGCCCACATTGGAAAGCCTCCACCTAAATTATAGTCCGTTCCCACTGTGACAAGAAATTTGGTGGATTGGAGTGGGGGAGCCATGTGAGATGTGACCATTTGGAGTTGGAGTTTATGCCTTCAAAAGATAGATTTTTCTTACATTGGTTTCACCCTTTTTTTATAAGGAATGGAATGAGCAGTCGAGAATCTCTTCTCTCCAATCAACGTGGGATTTTACAATCATCTCCTTTGGAAGCTCAACGTCTTCGCTAGTACCCTTTGTAACAGCTCAAGTCCACTGTTAGTAGATATTGTCTGCTTTAGACTGTTATGTATAATCGTCAGCCTCACGTTTTTAAAACGCATCTTTTAGAGAAATGTTTCTAGACTATATCATTTTTCTCTCCAATGAACGTGGGATCTCACAAAAACAATCAATCCTCTTTTCTATTTCCATTCCTCGGGGTCAAAGTTAAGTCAAAGTTAAGTCAAATTTAGTAATCAATTTTCATTCAAGTTTATAAAGGAACATCATAATTTTGCCCTCCAAACCTTCAGAAATTAAGATATATATCTTCGACCAAAATATAAAACTTCAAATCAACTCTCTCGTTCATGAGTTCATGTTAACTTTTCTTATCAATTACACACATAAAAGTAATAGATCCTTTAACTAAATATCCAGGCTATGAAAGAGCAATCGTTCCATATGTTGCTCGAAGGTGGGAAGGGACTGGTTTCTGCCATAACTATAGAACAAAGGAACTGCTCTGGCAATGTTAAGAGAAGCTTGAGTGAATTGGGAAGGAAACAATGGATTACAATACAGCCATTCTCTATTCAAACTCTTCCACGCTTCAGAAATCTTCCACATAATATGCTTTTGTGTGGCACTAAAGGACGTGCTTGGATGCTCCTTCATGTAGTATTTTACGTACGACCCATCACGCCCCTCTTGATTCTCATCCTGTGGACAATATCATTAATACATTCATATCATTTGTATTAATGGTTCTAATGAATCATTGAACATATGCATAAGATTGGGGATTGAGTTATGACCTTGGCACTTCCCATGTCATCCCAAAGCCGCAATATTGTAGCACTGCACGAAACAATGTCTAAATCCTCCTCCAAAAGCTCCACGGTTTGGTTGCTTATTTGCTGTCCAAGAAGAAAGAAAACATGAACTAAAGTAACGTGGACGCCGGTGCTAACTCTGCCATTTCTTAAATATTCTTCTGCACTTGGCCAATGCCCTGAGCTGAACCATTCTGCCTCAACTAAAAATGCCTTGCATAATTTACCCCACTGCATGCAACACAGATTCAATAGTTGGTCAAATACTATCATCCGTCTTGAAAGATATTGTTTTCTTTGGATTTCGCTTAAGATTTTAAAACGAGTATGTTAGGGAAAGGTTTTCACATCCGTAAAAAGAATGTTTGGTTCTTCTCTTTAA